AATAAATTGAGAAAGACCAACACAAGGAAGCTACTTTTCTCGAGCTAACCCCTCAGGTACTGTTTTCCTTTCCTGTCGTTTTGCTGTTATTGCAGTGTTGCAAAACGAAGCCAACTATGACCAGAACCGGCTGAGAGCCCCGTGGAAATCAGCTGCCACCCCAGGGGTACCCACTGGCAGTCTCCGAAAGGCAGAGCCCGGACCGAATACCCTACTGTGCTTTTCCTCATCAGCTTTTCCTCTTTCTCCGCGGTGGCCGAGGTTCCTAGTACAGGAGTACGAGTCTGACAGGCTGCTTGGCTTCTACTTTTCCAAGTACTGAAAACCAGGGGGAAATTTAAGTTGCAAAGTTGCAGGAACCTGCCATTATTTTAGGTAAAGCTTGGCTTCGAAGTAAGGGGACAAGTGTTCAGGGATCTTCTACCAGCCAATTTTCTTTTGCAGGTCTTTTTTTTTTTTCCCTAGCAAGGTAGATAAGTTTAATATTAAAGAACACCAGCGTCTTGACCAGGTGCCCATGGGAGGAGACAGACTGCGATAGAGTCTGGCTCAGAGACCCGTGCCACAGCAGGGCTGATGTCAAGGACAGATCAAGACCAGACTGGGTTTAAAACAAGCCCAAAAGAGGGTAAAAGAAGAGAGGGACAGCTCTGAGTGGACTGTCGCCAACAGCTTGGCATCACTGACCTTCGTGTCACCAGAAAGAAAGTGCAGCCTCTGCTTCACTGGAATGAACACGAGATGCTTCGAAATAAAACAGCAGCCTTTGGTTTGGTAAAGAGTTAAGTGTTTTCCCATTCAAGACAATCTTATGTGGAATACTAACAAGGTTGTAAAAACACAAACAAACTAGTTTTAGAAACAAGGCCTTCGTGCTGGGCACAAGAAATCAAGAGTCATGTTAAACTTACCATCTCAAGAAAACAAAAGTGACTCTGGGGAGGGGCGTGGGGAAAAAATAGGGAGAAGAAAGGGAACAGAAAGTCCCCCTGGCAGGAAAAAAACCCACCGCGGTCTCCTACAGCAATGCTCCTGCTCCTACCGTGGCTGAACGGCTCCGAGCGCAGCAGGGCTGTGGGGCACAAGGGTTTCCCTCCCTGGGGGTCCTTTCTGCCCCCCAGGCCTGGTGCTGCCCCCAGCACAACTGTAGGGAGGATGAGACTCCTGGAAGCTGCTGCTGCCCAGAGAACTTCTGGGAGCAGGATTAGGGGAGAGACGAGCAAAGTCCAAATGAGCTGCTAGGGCAAGTGTCTGAATGAAACCGGTTGCTGCTAGAGGGAGGAGGAGAGGGCAGAGTGGGCAACTCAGAGACATCCAGAACAAAGACACGGCTCCAATGAAATGAATGACGGTGGAGACGGTTTCCTTTCATTCTGCTACTGATCAGGGTATCACCGAAACCTTACAGCACTCAAAGAGTTAGAAAGCAGGGCGGGGAGCAAAGATGCAGGTTTGGGGTGGGAGACGTCATTAATAAAGGAGAGAAAAAAAAAGGGAAATAAAATTCAAAAAATCATGGAAGCGAAGGCACTCCAAACTATATAGATACACTATACATCGCTAGAGTTATTGTTACAATAATACAGGCCGGTACCTACTGTACAGAGTTAAAACTATATGGCTTTAAAAAGCTCGTCTACATTTTGTCTGATTATTAAACAGAATCACTGCCCTGAACGGTAACTTTTTGCTCATTAATAACAGTTCCTGGGTCCACATATTTACATACAAAACAATAAAACTCAAAATTCAAAAACAACCAAAAATAATAATGTACAAGCTTGAATTTGGTGAGGAGCTTTGTTTTTTTTTTTGTTGTTGTTGGTGTTTTTTTTGTGGTTTTTTTTTCCTTATTATTTACAAAAAAAGGTTATTCAAAGACCTGGATCTAACTTGTATAAAAGAGTGTGTGATCCTGCCATGACCCTTGAAAAAAAGAAATAAAACCAGAGGGGCGCCCCCGACCCTCCCCCAGCCTAACACACACACACACAAGACACACACAGACGCCAGCACAGTCACAAAACCAGAGAGAAAAGCTCTTAACTCCCCTCTACCAGTCTTAAAACGAAAAGATAAAATGAAAAAGAAGAGCCACATTTCCTGGCACAAGCAGCAATTTTTCTTCATTATTTTTATTACTTTTTTTAAAGACTCTGTAATTTACTGCCTCTAAATAACAGCCTCTGTGGCCAATGCTTCAGCAGTCTCGCCTATACAGCGGATCCATACCCTGCCACTGTCCTACTTTGAGTCTCCCACATCAAATTGGATCACTGGGTCAAACAAGCTCCTTCACTTACCTTTCGGGACACTGACTAGCCAAGCTCTCGCATTAAGATGCTCTTCAGCTCTTTCTGTTAAGTTGCATGTAAGGATTTGGAAAGCCTTCTGTTTTTAAACGTGGATGTGCTTTCCTCTGCAGCCAGCCAGAATTTAACAACAGCTAAAAGGTTTAAAACTTTTTCTTTTTTCCTGTGTGTGCGCCTCACAGCAAATTGCTGAGGGGTATAACATGATGGTTTATCGGTTTCACGGTGGGTGGTCACTCACCTCTTGAAATAGCTCCTTCCTCCCCAAAACCCCGCCAAGTGTCAGGCAGGAGGGAGAGGGAAGGGCTTTTATCCGTTCCAGGGCTGCTAAGAGAGTTTCCAAAAAATCCCATGTCAGCAAGATAAAAGGTACAAGAGAAAACACACCGAGCTTGTGAGCAAAACCCCTGCTGCCCCTGCGGCGGCTGATCTTGCCAAAGCTGCTACTGCCGCCTACCCCAGGGACACACGAAGGTCCCCGTGTTCCCGAAAAGCAACCGCTTGCCTTAGAGATCCGCAGGTCAAACAACAGCTCGATAAGCACCAAAGGCGACTACAGTTTCTCTGAAGGAGCATAAGGCCTGAGTGGACACCAACCGCAAGCCTACAAGATCAGGTCTCCAAAAGTCTTGTTTCTATGCTGCGGCTGCATCCAGCCGCTCACCTGACCCTTTCCCGAGGAATATTGCTTTGACTTCA